CTCACGCCTGTAATCCCAGCACTTTGGGAGGCCGAGGCAGGTGGATCATAAGGTCAGGAATTCAAGACCAGTCTGACCAATATGGTGAAACCCCGTCTCTGCTAAAAATACAAAAATTAGTTGGGCATGGTGGCACATGCCTGTAGTTCCAGCTACTCAGGAGGCTGAGGCAGGAGAATCACTTGAACCCAGGAGGCAGCGGTTACAGTAAGCCAAGATTGCGCCACTGCACTCCAGCCTGGGCTACAGAGCGAGACTCTGTCTCAAAAAAAAATATATATATATATATATATATATATATATTTCTATCAGGTCAATGTGTTTATTTAAATCATCTCTAATGACAAGCAGACATTGTTTACTTTTTCTATTCCCAACCTCTCTGACTTTTAAAAGCTAGAGAAAGTGTTTTCACACAAATGATATTTAATCACTAGGAAAAAAAATTGCACCAAGATAAGTAAAATGACTATACAACTGTAATTCAAAGCTTCAGAAAGGCATATAATGTTGTTTAATACACTGTTCAAATGTATTAAATTAATATTGCTTGGCATTTTAGATATTTGCTCATCTTTTGGATGCCCAAAATTATTTGAAATAGAAAATTATTTAAAATAGGACTAATTTTGAAAATGTTGTATTGCTATTGACCAAGTAGATTATGTAATAATTATGTATTCCTGTATATTACTTAAATTTGGCTTCTGAGAAAAATAATTTGATGATGAGGTTAATAACCATTTATATGGCAACTGCTATGTGCCAGGTGCCAGGCTTTGTTTTGAAAGCTCTGTATACACTGACTGATTTCCTCATCCCAGGACTAGTATTATGCCCAATTTACAGATGAGGAAATGGAAAGTTACATAGCTTTCCAGTGTGACTGGTAGACCTGAGAGTCTTTAATGACTTCTTAATTTGATCCTTGTGGGGCATCCCTGACCTCAATAACTGTGGTCTACTTATACTGATTTTTGATTTGGAAAAAGAAGAAGTTTAACTAACATAAAAAAATTGGCCAAGGATCTAGATGTTCTGCCCTGTTAAAAAAAAATGTTGAAAAGTCTTACATGAGTTTTGGTGACTCATTCCAGCCACAGATGTCCAGATCCTAATACCTCCATTGACTCAAGCCAGTTGTCAGACTCAACCCCACTAAATGTTTGTTCACAGCTCTACTTTCTCATTTCTCCAATCAAAAAGGGTTAAGGAACTAATTGAAGGAGGTTGTCAACATTTACCCTCCCACTTGTCATTTTTGGCTAGGCCACAATTTAACCAATTTTCATCTGCACTTTGAGCAAACCTCAAATTGCAGTCATGTATTTTAAAAACTTTGGGACATTGTTTCTCTGACCAAATTAACTGTATCTTGAAGCAGTATGATGACTATAAACAAAGGAAGTTGGTAAGGAAGTTATAAATAGTAACTAATTCCTAATGTCTTATAGGAATTTGGTAGCAGAAAGTAAATACAAACATTTTTGGCTGTTCCCTGTCACCACTTTTACTTTTTTAAAGATATGCTTAATATCCCTTCTTGAATGCCTGCCTGAAAATTACTATTCAGTTTTAGAAAACTAAGGAGTCCTTGTCAATTAGAGAGTTTGCTAATTGCGAGCCTCTAATTAAAGAGCCTACCTACATTGAAAATATAGATCTATAGATAGAACTAAAACTCAAGTGGTGACACTCCAGTGACTCTTTCTAGAGCTGAACCAAGTTCTGGTACAAGGATTTTTAGAGAAATGGATTAACTCAAGGGTCAAACTTCTCTTAGGCATATATCTCAAAATTCTTCTAGGAAATGAAAAGTTCAAGTCCAATTCAAGTTTAAATTATTTATACATTAAGTGATTAAATATGCAGTTTATAATGTAGAATAGAAAGGTGTTCATTCACATTGCTTATTTTAAAATTCAATTTCTGAATAGAAATATACTTTCTTTTTCTATGCCTAGAAAGAAGCATTACAACAAATGTGTATGATGAACCGCAAGTTTCTTAAATAAAATGTGCTCACAGATTTTTTTGTCTGCCATTATTTTATATTTTAATACAAGTTCATTTGCTTTGATCTATATAAAGTATTGTCTCACAGGACTCTTACCATTCCTAAGAATTCAACGTCTTGCTATGTTCCTTTCACATAAACACAAGTACTTTGTTAAAAAATACATACCAAATATTAAAAGATAGCTGGTCTTGGAACAATTTCACATCACACCAGATTGCAAAACAAATGAGTCCTTGTATCAAGGTACATTGGTAATTTCTGGATATGAATAACATTAAAAAGAATGCATTTATTGAGAAGGCAGACCCATTGAATTCTCAAGGCTGGGTGTATACTCGCTTCAGTGTTAATGGCACTTGTGTTTTCACACTTTTGGAGAAACAGACTTCTGTTCATTTGTAGCTTTTTGTATGGAATTCCTTACACCAATAAATTTTAAAATGTTTTTTATTATGTTTAGTGTGACATAATTTTTAAATGGATACTCCTTTGTTATCTAAAGCAGCATATAGATACTTTTTTCTGACAACGAGGAGCACAATTTACACTTTAAAAATCTATGTTGATAAATTTAACACTGAAAAAAGAATAACCAAAATAGAGCAGACTTTGCTTTTTGATTGCAATGATTTTGTGTTTGCCTTCTAAAAAACAACAGGGACAAACAGTAATGTTTAATGTTTGGAAACTGCCAAAGCAGTCATATAATTTCATTGTTATACCTAGTCCAGACAAATGCAAGTGTACAGAAAGTGATTCTCTTATTAAAGGACATTTTACCTCTATCTTTACTTAGATTCAGAATATCTAAGTAATATATCTCTAGACAGCTTCAGCCTCTACTAAGGCTCAAAAGAAAGTGCCTGATAAATATATATGCAGCACATAAGCTCATATGGTAGCTTACCATAGTCATGTTATATTTCTTGGATATGAAGCTGTTGAAATGGAAAGTATTAAAACCTTTCCAAAGGGAACTATTTTTGATAGTTTATTACTTGCCTTGAGCTTACAGTTGTAAGGCTCTGACTTTATTAATTCATATATACTGTATTATTCCCAAAATGTTTAAATTTGCTTTTAGGGTCAGTTGCTGTGTTATCAGTATTCTCTTATGAAGAATGTCAGATTTCTATGAAATGAAAACCAATGCTTAATGTAACATTATAAAACAGTAATTTGAGAATAATTAGTTCTTGAGCATTGTAAGAAATATATGCATGTTACCAATTTCTCATGAAGAAGAGTTTTCTTCCTTCTTCTTGATTACCTACATTTTAAATATACTTTTTTGAAATAATATTTAGGAATTATATGATAAGAGATATTTCTAAATTTTATATTTTAAAATTTCAGAATATTTATAAAACTCAAATACTAATGCAACACAGTAAAATTAGAATTATAAATGTTTACAATTTGTATTAAAAAGTTGATGGAGAAGGATCTTTTAGGTCCACCAATATCAAAATTTCTTTGTCTTAATAGACAACCTTTATAACTCTTCCATAATTGCACCACAATTAGATTTTAATTCAACGTAGAAGTCTAGATGATATGAATGTTTTAAAACAGAGGATACAAGAGGGTTAAATTGGTTCTTCTTACAAGTAATTGTTAACAGACATTGTTGGAGGTAAAGAGAGTTCTTTTTGCTATAACAAAATACCTTTAAATTTAACTGTATAAAATAGGAAACTTTGGGCATCAGAAAAGATAGTTTTACAAAAGATTGATCAAGTTGATAGTCTACTAATGGATTTTACTGAGATAGTGATCCTTAAACACTGTTTTCTGAGAATGTGGGGTTATATTTTCCATTGATAGTGATGGGAATCGATGGATAAATAAAATACATTATGAATCTGAAATCAATGTATAATGGAATGACAATTAAAAAAATAACTATCATATACCCTATGTAATCAAGCCTTAGCTGAGGCCATGATTTCAAAATATTTTTTAACCTTTTCTGAAAACAATCTACAAACATATATTGTGGCATAATTAAATTTCAGTTTAACATGTTCATCAGTAATTTTGGTATTATGATAAGAATTGCAAATCTCATAGCTTGGTGCAAAAATTATTGATCAGTCCTATAAAGCAATTGATATTAAGGAGTTGGTATTCAAGGCGACCTTTGAAAAATTAATAACTATTCTGTTTGATTTTCACCCTTTGTAAATTCTTATAACCAATTTGTAGAAATATGTAGAAAACATTTGCAATATGAAATCAACTATTAATTATTCAGAGAATGGTATCCAATTCGTGAAATATCTAGTAACTACCTTCTGGTTGGCCACTGTGTTGCCATTTTATCATCTTACAAATACCTATCAGAGAGAAAGCAAACCAAAATAAACTAAATAAACCAAAAACAAATCAAACCCCAAACTGCTTAGTTTTGTTGGTATTTAATTGTTTTAAGAAAAATTTGATTTGGAAAGATAGAAATTGAGATTTTGACTTAATAACAGGATTTTAATTTTATCTGGTTTTTGTTGATATTATGGAGGTGGTATAAGAAGTGATCTATGGCTGTGTATGGATGTGTGTGTGTGTGTGTGTGTGCATATATGTATGTATATAACTGAAAACACTGCCACACAAATAAAGCTGAAATAGGAAAAATAATAGAGCATGAGCAAATACTTTTCCAAAAATTAACACATTAAATCTGATCAGCAACCACAGTGATGGAAAGAGGCCATCACTATTCTCGACTAGTAAGGAAAAGGAACCTAACCAAGGACATAAGGTTTATTGCCAAATATAAAACTAATTTTAAGACAAAATGCTGGTAAAATTATGCCAAACACAGTTTTTTAAAAGAAAATTGAATATTGACTAGAATTTTAAGTGGTGTTTTGTTTAATGAAATCTCAGTGTTAATAAGTTTTTTTTTTTAAACAAAAACAAAACAAAAACAAGGCAAAACAAAAGACAGCAAGATCTTTTGAGTTTGGTTTCCTACCAGGTTAGCCTTGAGAGACAGGGTTGGCTGTAGGGGCTTGACTGTTCTAGCCTCCATCTTTGTGATGTAATTGTTTGGAGTCTCCAGGGGAACATGTGAGAACTACAGGAGAGCAGATCTTTAAAGTACACTGTGTTCTCTCCAGTGGATCCTTAAGGTTTCATGATTTCACCTCTTCATTATCACTTGTTTGACATTATCATCAAGATTAATTTGTTCTACCAAATGGATTATTCAAGTTTATTTTAAAAATCTGTATATTTTTCTTTTATGTTGATTCTCCAAAATAGCTATAAAAGAAGAGTCACCAAATGCTTCAATTTTGCTGAATTGTTGGCATCTGAATTATGTGACTTATTTGCACAGGAAAGTATGTTAGGTTTTCAGAAGAATTAATGGCTTGTCTTTTTTTCTTTTTTTTTAACAACCTAGAATGATTTGCAATATGACATTTGACTTTGGAAAAAGACGCTGTACTAACAATTTTAAATTGATAAGTATGTACACAGCTACTTCTAATTTTTTTGGACAAAAGAAAGGAATACAATCTTTGGCTTTGAAATCATGCTATATGAAGTGATTCATTTAGACTTGATAGAAAACAGACAAATGTTTTTAATTTCATACTTCTCTAAACTGCTTGGACCAAAATATATTGTTCTTTTTTTAAAAAAATAAAATCGATTATCTATAGAGTGCATTGTGGCTAAATTATTCACTAACTGTCTTATTTTTTCCTGGAAAATTCTCCTATGTATGACAGGAGCTAATAATTAAAAAATAAAGTTTGAAGTAAATAACAGAAGAAAAGATTAATTTGTTTTGTGCCACATGTGGGCGTAGTTGTGGATTACTGTTGTAGGGACACAGCTCTTGAAAAATGTATTCGCTATTCCTCAATATTTTAATTTTATTATTTATATTTATTTACATAAATAAAAATTACCCTTTTGTAAAAAAAAAACTATTCATAGCAAAATACGGTAATACCATTGTTCAACTTTTGTAAAACAGATTTATGCTATATAACTGTTTCAGTTACAAGTCTAACTTATAAATCTCTCTGAAATATTTATGTTACTTAATGAATAGATCACAGAAAGGTTTACTAAAACATTTCCCATTGATTTTTAACCTAAGTTACTTCATATTTTATTTTGGATGGTCTCCAATTACAAATTCATTTGTAAGTTGTTGTTTTGTAAAACAATTTAATCCTGGCATGTAACTTAATTCAGAATTCAATTAGGCTGATTCTATAATATGTTAAAGAGAAAGTACATTGACATGACAAATATGACTTTTACAGAAAAATTTTGGGATCTGTCCTTGGAAGGAACTCTACTGCTTTATAGGTGTAGAAAGTGAGAACTGACAAGAAATTCCTCTGGACCTTAGGAAAACAAACAAACCAAAAAAAACTATTATACTTATAACTATTATGTATCATTCCAACAATTTAATATAGCATTATAAGAGAGATGATATATCAGCCAATCTCATTTTTAATCCAATTATATTTAAGAAAGCAGAGCACACACATATAGCTGTACAGCAAGCAGAAAAAGGGAGAGAAGTGTATTTCTCTCATGCACACACATATTTGAATGGACATAAACATGGGAACAATAGACACCATGGGCTACTAGACTGGGCAGGGAGAGTGGGTATGGGTTGAAAAACTACCTATTGTTTACTATACTCATTACTTGGGTGATGGGATCTGGACTCCAAACCTCAGCATCACTCATTATAACAAGCCTGTACATATACTCTTTTATCTAAAACAAAAGTTGAATTGTTTTTTAAAAGAAAAAGAAAGAAAAACGAAAGGAAGAAAAGCCTCATGGTAATTTTAGTTTGCTGATCATAGCTCTAACTATGAGTGGTGGAAGGGTGTGGATCCTGGGGGTGGATCACATCTTGTGGTTGTCTTTACCACAGTCAGCTCAGGGGGCAGGGACTGGGAGGGCAGGATGGTACATAGACCCTGGAAGCTAGCCAGCCATGGCCATTAATTAACTTGAATGACTACATTTCAGAATTTGTGAGGTACAAAGTACTCTAAGCTTCTGAGAAAATGAAGACTTCAAACTAAAATCTTCTACAGTTTTCCAATCTAATCATTAAGTATTCACATTTGTAGGCAATTCAGCCCTATTTGTGAAAGGGGAAATTTTTCTAAAAATTGGAAAGTGGCTTGGTGTTAGTGAAACTATAATACACAGTGAAGACCACAGTGTGCATCGTTTAAAATGACCAAAAAGAGAAATGAAAGAATTGAACCCCTGACCTTAACCAGATTGAGTAGATATTATCTCATAAGAAAGGAAATGAATTTGCAGATGACTTCCCGATACACTGGATTACAGAGTGTCTCACAAATCTCTCACTCAGGTAGAAGAGGTAAAGCGAGTGATCATGGTGACTGGTAATAATGTTCCTCATTTGAAGGAAGGTCTCCCTGAGTTGAAAACAAAATCATCTGGCAAAATAGGGTGATGGTCTTATTTTAAGACAACAGAATTCAGTGTGATGCTTCTGTTAAAAAAATGTAGAATGCACTTAATACCTCAAATTGAATAAATTGCGTGGTAATAATTATCTCTATATGTATTATAGCCAGTCAGTGAAAAAGGTTCCTTTATAGACAGGCTAATTGGATTATACATAGAACAATTCAAGATATCTAAAACTATTAGGCTATTGATCAATTGATATGACTCCTGATACTTGAAATAAGTAAAATTGCCAAAGTCAAAGCCAAAGCCATTTTGGCTGCCTCTCCAACTGTGAAAGCCATTAAAATAAAATTATCTCAAGATCTAATTACTTCATGGATGTATTTTAATGGTTACTGTTTTGTTTAATCATTTTATTGCAATTAAAAGCTTGCTAAATAGCTCTTTTTAAGTGTCCTAACATTTTTCTTAAACTTGGGTGATGCTGCAATGGAGGTTTTTTTGTAGAATAGTGCCTAATCTGTCCACTTTTTATTTTATAGATCAATATCATCGTGGAAAAAAGATTCTATTTTTTCTTGGTTTAGATAGAAAATTTAAATACCTATGTCAAATGAAAAAATACTTCATCAATGGGCAGTTTACGTCTTTACAGTGAAGGAAATCCCAGGGCAATATAAAGGAAAATGGGAGACTATTTTGGAACCTTGAGGGTAATAGCGAGGTAGCAATGGTTGGAGTTAAAGCTCGGTGTTGGTAAAACATGCTTCTAGGTGCCATGTTCCAGGAAAGGTGGAGGGATAGTTGGTGTGAGAGAGGCAAAGGGGGTGTGAATTTCAAAGACTGGCTTTCTTATGAACAAAAATATCATAGTTCTCAAACATAGATTTCATCTTACATTTATTCAACAAACTTTTATTGAACATTTACCACATACCAAGAAATTCATATGCGATATAACCCAAAGGTGATTTAGACAGATTTGCGACTTTAAAGAACTCTTCCTCCTGAAAGGAAATAAACAGTCATGTGCAATGCAATAAATATGATAGTAGGAATATGAACAAAGTAGCAATTTATCAAATAGAGCTGTTTCAGGATGCATCCGGCATCTAAAATCCTTAACAAGAAAAATGTATTTTCCCTGATTGAAAAAAGACAGTGCCACTATGTATTCATAGTTATATTTCACAGGGAGTAAGAGTGTGGGAATTTTCAAGGAAGTGGATAGAGTGGGAATTTTCAGGGAAGTGGATGTATTTTAGGCAAATATGAGGTAGAAAAGTGCATTGTACAGCTCCAGAAAAGTAAGGGAACGGGGGAAATGGGGAAGATGGGAGGGGAGTCCAGGAAGATGTGAGTCTGAAAGGCTGGGTCACAAAGGGCATTGTTCCTTATTTCTAAGGAGATTCAGATTGGTACTATAGGCAATTGGAAATCATTGGAGAATAACTTTGAATGCATGATCAGAATTTTATTCTGGGAAAATCATTCCTACAGCAATTAGAAGATGAGTGGAGGCTGGTAACAGGGAATTAGGAGGTTATGACAGATGATGAGAGTCTTTACCTGGGAAGATGGAGAGGAATTGGAAATAAATGAAACGTTAAGAGTAAAATGATGGTGATAAATAAACAGATTTAACTAGCACTGATAGGGTAGCATTGAGAATAGGGATACAAGAGGATCTTAAGGTTTTTAGCAAGGGAACTGGATGGGTAATAGTAACTAACTTCTTTGTGTTTACATACAAACAGCAAACTGTGTTCAGATGTGTATACCCCCTTGTTTTCTCTAAAGATATAGCCACGGTTATATCTTCAGATAGTCTGTGGCAGTGTGCATTCTTGGGCAAATTTACTCTGATATATATTTGGAGGACAGTTATCAAAATAAAAATATCAGGCAACTTATATTGTAACACTATAGTTTATCAACTTCCTTCAATCTGTAAATCAACTTCTCTCTCTCTCTCTCTCTTTCTCTCTCCCTCTCTCTCTCCCTCAGTTTCTTTCACTCCCTGTGAAATATAACTACCAATACATAGTGGCACTGTCTTTTTTTATCAGGGGAAAATACATTTTTCTTGTTAAGGATTTTAGATGCTGTATGCATCCTTAAAATGCTTTTGGGAGAAAGGAGCTATGTAAGTCTTGCGTTATTCCATTAAAAATTATGAGTCAACAGGGCAGAATGTACAATTTATGCCTTCCTGTGAACATTAGAACAAATCTCCCAGGTCAGGATTTGGTGGTGGAGTGTGGGAATTTTCCATGCCTTTTAGCATTGATGCCTATGACTTCTAGTCCAAGTTATCAGTTCAAAATGAATGGGAGCCATTTGCTGTTCATTTTGTGAAGTGTGGACAGTGGTTTTGATAAATGAACAAGGCTTTGGATAATTTGAGTAAAATCCTTTTCTAGGTAACACCTTGTGCACTATAGAGACTAAAAAGAATGACGTTTTAGATAAAGGAAAAATGTGTATGTGAAGTCTATTGATAGAAAATGCTTTTGGATATGTTCTGAATCTAAATTTGTAATCATAATAAAGAAATACATCTGTAGGCCTAGGAAGAGGGAAGGGAAAGGAGGAAAAAGAAAGCCAAAAC